GTCAGGGCAACATTTCCACAAGACAGAAAATCATCGTTTTCGATTTTGCTGTTCTGAAAAGTGTTAAATCAAGCTGATTTTTTACGTTAAAGGATATTTCATGTAAACATACTCGGGAAAGAGCTCCAAAATTGGTAATGATCGTTTGTTGAGTTTGGGACAAAGTTACCCCTGACTTGTGAGTTAAAGTTATTTCAATTTACGGTACTCCAACTACAACTATTATGTGTGAATATTTTTAATATTCATTTTATAGCATTTTTAGAATAAATATTAGTATAAAAACATTAATCGTATGTGTTTACATAGGTATGCAGGGTGAGTCACCTAAGAGAAATCACCTGAATAATTTCTACAATTTCGGCGATACGAAGAAATGTTTGAAACAAAAGCTGTTTGGTGCTTGAGGGGCCATTATGTGCTGAACGAAACTTTTTTCCAAGTGGTGGTACTCAGGAGATTTCGAGGTCAGCTTGATTCTTTTAAGCGGAACCATGTATTTTTAAATACCTAAAATTGGAGCCTTTCTCGAGAAGATTTCAGTGACCATAGTCATCAAGTGTCATTTAAGGTCATGGACATAGGAATGATTAAAAATTCCGGCCAGAAACGCCTCAAGCTAGGCAACTTGCCGACAACGGTGAATCGTGGGTCACGTCGGTTGCAGCGCGTACATTGGGGTCAGCTGAAAAATCTAATATCGTTCGCTTGGAAGCGAAAACTGAAATCGTGTAACACGTGGGTCTGAATATTACACAGTTACATGCAGAATCACGGTGGTCAAGAATTGATCGAACGTTTATGTATACGTAAATTGCAAACAATTTTAAAAAGTATTCCAAACATCTGAATTGCATCAAGAATATATTGGTCCATTTAGAGCCCCACCAATGCTTTCGCCTAGATGTATTTTGGAATATACTTCTTTGAAATAAGCTGATCCCCTCGTCATACGATACACATATAATAAGATGAAGCATTGGATAATATTCTCGAAAAGTTTCGTCAGAATGAAATATAAACGTTATATTAAACACTTAATACACTATGAAAATATTCATTAATTTGATCATTGTATTACAATAAAATAACTAAAATGAAGGTTAATATCAACTTTGTTTTTTATAACACTTGAATTTTAGATTTAAAGAACGTCACGTATCACTATTAGCGATGGGTAGTCAAGCAGTTCAATCTTGTATGAATTCCCGACTAAATGTCCAAACATTTTGAAGAGTGTTCGGTCGATTCAAATGTTTGAACTGTTTGAAACTTCTGCAAACCACCGAATACTGTTCGAACTGTTTGAAAATATTCCGTTTGTACATGTTGAAATATATTTCGTCAATTAAAAAATCGAAAACTCAAGGAACAATATGCTCGTAATGTTGAGAAATTGTTTGAATTGGGGAATGTGTCGAGTCTGTCGCTGAATCGATTTATAAATTTCGTCTCCGTAACTCGAGAACGGGCCGGAGAAGTTTCCAGCAGGAAAGAGAGCCTCTCCAGCCGCGCGAGCGTATTTTTCTTTTTTTCGCCACTGCATGAGAGGGAATGAATTTTATTTCGCTGAAAAAGGAGAAGGTTGTCCCTGTTTGAAAAATCTCCACGAGAAATTCAGATCCTCGCGGTTCGTCGAGTTCCTCTGTTTCCTTCGTTTTTTCTCGCGGGGAAAAGCCTCGAGGGATTTCGAGGCAAAAAAAAAAAGAACTTTACATTTCCGCCGTGTTTTCGTGTCCTATTAAATTCACGTCTGTCTCGGACCGATTCGCGGGATATTAAAAATAACTGAGGTGGAAAGGTAAACGCAACCTTTAGGGCCAAAATTTCCACCACTTTTCTCTTCAAAGCGAATATGAATACTGTTCATTGTGTTGGAATAACTGAACGGGAACAGAACAGACCCTCAATTGTTGAAATAACTTCCCCAATTTTTATTCGCTGATATTTTTAGCCCTTTTTGGGGGATGCAATTCGACTTCCCCTTCATTTCGAAGGTCACATCCGCTCTGCTGAATATCTCCGAAGGTCGAATAACTGTCCCTAACGTTTTTTTTTTCATGATAATAATAATCTATTCGTTAATGACACTTTGGTATTACGTGCAAGATTCAGAAAATATAATGTCATGTAAGATCATCAGGTGTGATAGAAAGTGTATTAAATGTAAATCTGTACGATAATGCTTCACTATGAGCAGAAAAGGAAGCAATTAATCTATTTTAAATTCACGCGATGTTAAAAGAGAGAAAAGTCGACTGACATATCAAGTGATAGGACCAATCACTGATTTAAGAAGTTATTTTCTCATTGATTTAAAAAATCTGACTATTTAGACTTTTACATTTTTCCAAAAGTACATAGACTTGAAAAATACTTTAAACACTTAAAAATAATTTCGTTGAAATTCAATAAATTGTTCAAATTACGATTAGAAGAATCAGAATCCGTATTATGCTTCCTTTTCATGAACGATCCGTTACAGAGTCAAGTTCTTCTTACGAAATTCGAACTATCGATAAGTGGAGGGAGATCACGAGATCATGATTCAGAACTGGATCGCTTGGTCGGTAATGTCGAGTTCGAGGTCACGTGGCCGCAAGTGAAAGCCACAAGTCTCTGGAATCTCCCGCAATCAAGGCGCAGTACGCGTCGACGTTAATTCCAGTCGATAGCGTTTCACGTGGAGTCGCGTGTACGTTCTCCGACAGTTTCTTTTTATTGTTTCGATTCATCATTTTCAACGATTTCACGAATTTTCGAGGCATACAATCGTCTTTGACCGATCAAACTGTGGGTACACACGCGGGTCCAAAATGGAGGGAGCTCGAAATTGAAATCTGTGAGTGTGATTGAAACCGTGTCTGAAGTACAGGTAATTTTGGTGACATCCTCCTATGAAAAAATTTCCATTAATCGATCATTGTTGACCCGACGAAATTTCAATATACAAGGTAATTCGAATTACGTGTATAATGAGGAATATCGAATTTCTCTTTGGGAATGCTAATTAATTAAGTCGTTGTTCTGGTGTATACTTACATTTTAAATAATTTATTGCATAACATCTACGTATTTTTATACCTGCACCAAGCTGAACAATGATCTTCGATATAAACAACTTCTTTTGCTCTGTGTACTCTAGAGGTAAACAAGGCAAGATTCCTGGGAATTCCCACGTTACGACGGGTTTCCATGAAAAACTGGAGCGTCACAATATACAACATAGTCTGTGACAAACCTCCCATTTTGGTCTTCTTTGATATTAACACAGCGAATATTTAATTGGACAAAAAGTCATGTCGGATTTCTACAGTAAACGATGCTGTTTTTGTTTATCAATGCAAAGCACGACTTCCAATTAACAAAGTATATATACATATACATTGTCGTTTATAAGTTCTAGGACACTTGTCGAATATGAGGTAAATGTAAAGGGACATTACGAAAAATTGTCGAAGGACTGAAATAAATATTCTTTCGTGGATGTTAAAACTTAAAGGGCAATACTTACGCTGATGTAATGTAATAAAAGTGATGCAAAATATGTTATTTTTACTACGATCAGATGTCTTAATATTTATGGACGGCAGTGTACATATTCCGAAAGCTTAACTTTAACGCGTCGTTTAGAAATAAAAATAATCACGATTGGGTTAAATTTTTGTGAATTGACCTTGTTTTGAAAACGAACAATACGAAAATATACTTACTAGCAAATATGCCTTTTTCATTTCCGGAAAGGGAAAAACGCAGCACAAACGATAAAAACGATTTCCTGTGTGCACGGCGATGATGGACGAACGGAAATCAAAAGGCGTCTAATTGCTCGAAAGTACATACAGTACCGGACAAATGAATTCGAACGAAACTATTGTTTATGTATATTACTTTTTTAAACAATACAAACTCAAGTTATCTGTCGAGAAAAAGTAAATGTTTCTTTTAAATGCTACAACTTTTCTAATGTTCCATATTTTTCTTTCAAAAGAGCCACAAATAGGTGAATTATCCAGCTTTCGGGGAATTTCTTAGCTTTTGCATTCCGATGACTGTGACAGATGTTACACTGCACGCCAACTATGAGTATATCATCGAAGAAAATCACAAGTCTTGTAATATGCAATAAACAACAAGCAGAATTGAAACAAAAAAGAAATATTTCTCTATAATTTAAGTATGTCTTCTTATATTTCAAGACCGTTTACTCTCATATTATCAATAGTTTTCTCAAAAAGAAATTCGTAAAAGTCACTTGCCTTTAGAATTGTTACATGAGAATCCTCTCTTAAATGAAGCGTCAATATCCATAGATTCTCGATGTGTGAACATCCCCAAATGGAAGATATATAAAATAAAAAAACCAAAAAACAATTTATACGACAAGAAAATAACAATTACGCAAGCTGGGGTTGACTACTTAACCCTTTAACGTTCAGACCCTTGAATCGCAATTTCAAAATGACGAGACTTCAAAATATCGATATAAAGCAGACGCTTTTTTCCCAAAAACATTTGTCCGTAACTGTACACCTTTTCAGCACAGATATTCGAAACTGTTACCCGCCGGTTAACAGGTCAACAGGTCAATAGGGCACCGTTGAGGCAGTAGTGTAAACCGATCGAAAACATCCAACCCTGTACACACGGAGCAGAGGAGTCTTCTCTGCCCCTGGAGTGTTCCCTCGTCACCTGGAGACCCCGAAATTGCGCGTCTCCAACCCCTACGAAAATACATCCTTTCTACGGGGGTGGTGGTGTAAGAGTGTACACCATCTCGGCGAGTGCGCAAGAGGTGATCCCAGTTGGAGAGGGCAGACGGTGCGCGCGTTTCGCCGATCGACGACGGAATATCGTCACACGGGGGTGGTGGGGGGTGATCGAGGGTGGGAAGGGAAAGGTGGTGGTGGCCTGAATTGCGCACACGCGCGAATATTTCCCGGGGAATCGGGTCTTTCCGGGTCTCTTCCGACACGGGTTCCACCTCGTCGAACGGCTCACTACGGCGTACGACGCGCGACACGGCGGCAACAGGTGACAGAGAGGGTTCTCGAGTATAAATACACATACATATATACACTGTCCGCGGACGACGATCCTCGGGAACTGTTCGAACAGTAAAAGGATCGAACCGCGAGCGTAGACGTAGCAGACGCGGACCGATCCAACCGGACCACGCGTCGATTCCCGCGCTTACGTTGGGGAAACTGACCAGACGAAGAGGAACAGACACCTCCGGTGCTGGACACTAAACGATCGAGGGGATTCGGCTCAGGGACGCTGAGGATTCTAGGATTTTAGAGTTTTTCTTGGGGTGTAACGAGCGCCAATCGAAGAGGGGAAGGAAAAATGAGCGTCGAGGACGCGATCAACTATAAACCCAGCGAGGAGGAGGATTACTACGCTCTGCTGGCCTGCGATGAATCTTCCACGGTGAGTACTCGAAGATTCTGTTTAGGGCTTGGAATTATTAGACTGCGGATTATATGCATTCATAGCATGTATGACTTTGTGAAGTATAAATGGTAACGTTAACGTCAGAATTCATATATTTTCTGTATTATTTTTGTTATATAAAATCCTTAAGAAGGGAAAGAAAATCGTATCTTTACATTTGTCTTTATAAATAGCTTCGAAAAATGTTATTTTGCATGAAATTCCGCGGTCTAATAGGGATGACGTAAATTTATTTTTATGGGAAGTCCTTTTTGTTATGTGAGAGTATTATAGGATATAAGTAGAATATAGAACAGTATAAGTGTAGTAGGTAATATTGTCATGATGATGTGATGACATCAGAGATGGGAAAATTGATTGTTTATATAAAGAGTTCTGAATAACGAATAAAAGATGGAAAGTGTACTTCATCATGGAATTTCTAGTTGTTATAATAAAATTATATTTCTTCTTGAATAAGTAGACACTTGGCAAACAATCGTTAACTGTTTGAAGGGCAGGATGACGCTCTTAGGTACTGTTTCGTTTCTGTATTTATTGTTCGAACAATGTTGCGCCCAACTTTGGATGACATAGGTCTCTGAAGTTAGGGGATGGTTAGAGAGCCGTTGTTGCCGTTGAACTACAGAAGCAGTCAAAATGACTGGTTAGTAGATTCCTATAACGATAATTAATATCTATGTCGGAATAATGAATTTTCTTAGACCTTTAGTAACTTTTATTGTAATATAAAAGTGAAGAAATGTAGTCGATAAATTTGTATATTTTGAGAAGTTTGTCACGTTCTATCGATTCAGTAGAAATAGATACACGCTCAACGTCCGTAGTTCTAATGTTGAGCGTCGAGGTGCTTTTTATGACTTTTTTTCGTTCGTGTTGTAACGTAGGTAAAATCGGTAATTCATGATGCTGTTACCGAAATCGACGATGTAAATCGATCTTGAAGAAATTGCAAATGAAACAGTGCATTAATGGTAGGTCTTGAATGGGTTAAAAATGTTAATTCTAACCCATCACAGATTTTCACAGATTAATTCAGGAAGTATGAGTTTGTTTACCCTGTTAACGGGTCCATCAGGTTCCAAAATTGAATAAAACAACCTTCGTTAAACTTTATTAAAAGCGTTTCCAACCCTCCGTTTTAAAGGATGTGTATGTGTATGGCGTATACAGTTAAAATCCACCGTTTGTATTCCCTCTCGACGTATGAATTCTTCCGTGGTCGATGGAACTCGCGTATTCAATCCCGATCTGGTACGTTACGCACGGTTAATTAGCTTCAGTGTCGGGCCGCGTCACAGAGGGATAATTCCATCAGCGTCGGGGCGCAACTTTAATCAGCCCCGGCCTCTCGTCAGAACTCCTCGATTACTATCGATCGACATTCAACGTCCGGATTGCCAGTTCGTTTGGCAAAAATACGTCGCCGCTCGAATTATCCTCGTTAACGCCCCTTCGACCTCTACCCTTTCTTCTTCTTTCGCTCTCTTGTAACCAGTATACAGGGTGTTCCGTGTAAGTGTCGCCACGAAATTTCAGGACGTTCCTTTTGAAGAGAGATGGGCACAATTTTATTCGAATAATACATACTGAGAAGCAGCAGTATCTAAGATCGTCATCCTGACCTTTAAACAGTTCATGAGATTAAATAATTATTTGCAAGGTGTCTACTAATTTAAGAAGAAACATTATTTCATGATAAAAATTGGAATTACCACGTTCAATCAAGTAAAAATGATGAAGTATTTTTTTCATATTTTATTCGTTATTCGAAACTTTTTATCTAGACAATGAATTTGCCCATCTGTGCTATTGAACTTTAGAAAGAAATTGAGTTAAATAGAGTAGTTGAACTACATATATTCAAATGTGCATTACTTTCGTAAATAAGGGTTCCTTTATCAGCATTTTCAGTTCGCAGAAATGGATGGTTACCTTATCGTTTTTAAACGAATCTAGAATATTTCTTAAATATTTTTTATTAGAAGGAATCATGACAAATATAATGGTTATAAATATAGTATGGAAAAGAAAACACAAATAACGTCGACAGGAATTGTGCAACGTTGTGATATATCAAGGTGTTCGTTTTTGAAACAATCAAACGCTCAAAACTTTTGTTGATCTTTTATAGATTATTTTTGTTTTTTGGTAACATTTATAATCGTCGGATTTCTCATGATTCATTTCAATAAACAATATTTATACAACGCTGTGGCTTGATTTAAAAAGACCAAACGCATTATACTTTAGTTTCTTTTTTTTTTAAAAGTAGACAAATATAAAAATACAGGGTGGATTATAATTTCACCGATTCCGAGTGAATAATATTTTTTTAGTTTCGGTGTATAAACCGCGTAAAATTATAATTATTCAGTGTCGGATCATTTGCGCGACTCTGTTTTTCCATACATATTGTACAGTTGAGATTGTATTTGTTATCGTTTACGAGACAGATATTGCTCGAGAAACGTCGAACTACACGTCGTTATCTGCGGTTTCGTCGAACACGAAATGTCCATTACTCGTAGGTAGTTCAGAGGCAACAACTAGTATAGTTACTTCAGATTTACAGCCGTCTGATAATTAATTAACAAACATATAACCGAAAAGGATAAGATATTAGTCGTACTAAAAAATAATCTACTATGTTCTTAAATTACGAAACGGTGTCTTTTAAACTGAAAATATCATCTCGACTGAGGAAGAATAGTTATAAGTTGGAAAATCGTTATATGTATACCAACACGAATAAAATAGCATAAATATCTTGACTCCCATAGAAGTGAATATAGATTTCGTCAAGAAATAAGTGGATTACTTAATTATTAGTAGACCAAATATAAAATTTATTGGATAAATATTTCTTCCTAAAAATTCAGAAAATATCGTAACACGGTCCTTCATGACCCGGTCATAGGATCGTTGGGATTAAAACAGCAACCTATTCGATTAAATAGAATTTCTTCGATTAACAGACAACTCTCTGCGGGGCTCGAAATATCGCGATCATTGGTATAAAATTACTCGAAGCGAACAGTGTCTCTTTGCAATTACCCAATAACCGTTCGTTTATCTCGCAGTCGCGGTGATAAACGAGCCGTTGGTCGCTCAATCCTCGCAGACAAAGGTTACTTGACTCGTTTGGAAAGCTTCGAAGTTACTTCGTTAATGCTTCCAATACATCGAATATCCACTGAATATTCGAGATGTATGATTACATTACGAATTTTATAAATTTATAAATACAATAATAACAGTCCAGTTGTCTAATAAATGGTACTTTTAGATCGTATATAATTTTTAAAATCGATTTCAGTAGAATCACCAGTGAGTGAAGATCGAGGTCATCCAAGTATTCACTGCGTTCCCGAGTAACGAAGTCATAAAGTCTATCGACTCGAGTCCCCTCCACACCATTCCTTGTCATTAACTTCGCATAAAAGTGATTGCTGACCCTTCTCAAGGAATTATATGCTAACGGTGGCCGACACCCTCGGCACCGTTCCTCGCGATCAGCTAAAAATAAAGCGTCGTCGCTTTAAATAAAGCGGGGGCGGATGGGGGGAAGGGGTTAATGAGTGATCGTGTTTGCCTGTTTACCGACGAACCTGCACCTATCGTTGTTCCATTAAGAAATTCTACGCTTCCTCCCCATTAATGGGGAATTCATTACATCGCGCTATGTGCAAATATCACTCGTTCCCATTAGCTGGAGAAATTGACAAGGAACCAGCACCCTTTGAACCAGGCCCCAAGCGAAATAGGACACACGACGCGACGGTACAACGATGTTAACGGCGCGAAAGTGCGTTCGATAACACCTCCATCGTCTCGTGCCGTCGCGGAGAGGTGCATTAGGTGAAAGGACATTCTCTGTCGCGATGTCGTTGTGTCTGCCGTTGATATGAGATGTGCACGTTGGTCTTGGTACGGTTTTTGCACTCCAAATTCAACTTTTTGCCAATCAAATTCACTGTTTTCCAGATGAAATTCAAATTCTTGCAAATCAAATTCAATTTTCTGTAGATGAAATGGAAATTTTCCAAATCAAATTCACCATTTTGTAGATGAAATTCAAATTTTCCAAATCAAATTCACCATTTGCTAGATGGAATTCAAATTTTCCAAATCAAATTCACCCTTTTCCAATTTCCGAAATAGGAAGTAATGTAGAAACATTTAAAGAAATCCACCCGAAACTAAAATTTTAAAAAGCATTCGCGTAAGAAGCGTTTCTTATTCGAATAAAAATAAAGCACCCACTAAAATTATTGCAAAGGCATCGTTGGGTGAATAATTTTGATAATCTGTTGTATGAAATTTTAATTTCGAATGAATTTTTTAAAATATTTCTTTATTACCTTCTTTTTATTTCGAAAATCGCATAAGGTTGAATTTAATTTGAAAAAAGGTGATTTTCATCTGAAAAATGTTGAATTTGGAGTGGAAAAATTGTAAGACGGCCGCGGAATTCGAAGGCGGAATAATTATTACACATTCTTTTAGGAAAACCGGAGGATGTATTGAAACTGGGTTTTCAATCGAATTTCAGAGAAAACAGTGCATTGTATAGTTAGCGGTGAATAGAATATTTCGTTGGGTTGTTGGAGAACGAATGGTCGGTATTCAAAGTTTAACGGATTCCAATTAACACATTACGGTTTGTTATCGTTTCATTGGAAAGTTCCATCGAGGCCGGGCGAATTTTCAAATGAATGATGCAATTTCGAGAAGTTTTCCGCTCCAAAAGTTACAATTAAATAACATTTGTTTCGTTTGATTCGGTAGTATTTGTTTAGAAATAAATGACGTTTCACCTGTTTTAACCAACTTGCAATGTAACATTTGATTCGCTGTACCGCAAAAACGTGCGTATGGACTGTAATTTGTTAATTACTCTTCTGTGAATCTGATTATTTCAGATTTTATCGTGGTATACACAGGACCGATTAAATAATTGGAATGGGATTTTGTGATCGTATTAACTCTTTACCGTCCTGAGTCGAGATGGACTTTTGGTATTTTGTTTGGTTAAAATTTCTACGTTATTTACATCAAAAGGTTTCCATCTGAAAAAAATTTTTATTTTGATGAAACTCTATACGGTAAAAAGTAGAAAAGAAATTTCATTAATCAGAATTCACTTTCGATGAGTGAAATTGAAAGGAAGCATTAAATTTTTCACATTTTTTCGTTCGTTGTTTATAACATAAAAATAACAATTACACAATTGCTCGTAACAATCATTATTGATGCATAGTATACAAAAATCCGCAGATCATAATCGAATGGAAGTTTCCGAACGGTTTAATAAATATTGTATTTCAGAGGAACTGAATCTTTGCAGAAGAAAAAATAATTTACGAATCCAACGTTATATTTAATTAACGAACAATTTTGTTTGGTTTCAGGTGGAGCAAATCACAGCCGAATACAAGGTCCTGGCTCTCCAATACCATCCCGACAAGAACGAAGGTGACAAAGAAGCCGAGAGGAAGTTTCAGCAGCTGAAGGTTCGTTTCTACTCTTCGTACCTCGCCTATTATGCAATTTAATCCTCGATACCGAATGAATCATCGGGAAATAGTTGCTCGATCGACGGTTTTTTTGCGATTGTTCACCTTGACGATGCTAATGCCACGCATATCGACTCGAGAACTCCACTTTAAAAGCAACTTCCTATAGCCTGGAGTTTACCAGCTCGGGAACAAAGCCGGATTATTCATGTAGGTTTAAAATTCTACGGACAAACCTTCGAAAAATATCCGTCAATCGGGATCTTATTTCCATTATGAAAGGTTTTCCCTGAATTCAAACAGATAACGAACGCTATTAAATTTTTTATTGTAATATTTTTCTGTCACCTTTTTTACGTATTAATAATATTTAGTAATTTAATATTAGCAACTTTTCTTACTTTCAATTCTAGAGATTTTATAAACTCTATTAAATTTTTTATTTCATTGCATTTCTCAAGTTAGGAGATGCTATAAATGCATAAACATCCGCAGTCTACTAATGACAATAACTACGATTGTATTGCTGATAGTAGAACTACAAGTTGCAACATAGAAATTCATTTTCTATAAGAAGCCTATGTTTAAATAAAAATTCCTATCCTGTAAAATAAATACTATCTTCACTTGAAACAGAGAACCTAATCAAGGTCCAGGACGTCGTTTATTCCATATTTCTGGCGTTCCTATCATCTCGAAAAAATGTAGTAGGTGCTTCAGTTCCTGATTTATCGAAGCCTATCTTGCAGACAAACGCTTCTGGAATATTTTAACGTTGAATATCTTCTAAACTATTAACCGTATATTCCCAAAATCAGTCGATTCAGTTTGCCAAACCTCCTTCGAAAGACGATTAAGAAGTCTGCATTTTGATCTGGAACATTGAGCAGACCATGGAGCATTTTATGGCGGATAGTGAAGAAATCCTTCTGTTTTCTTTTCCCTCTCTATCCCAGCACGCGAAAGAGGTCCTCTGCGATCCCGAGCGAAGGAGCAACTACGACAAATGGAGGCGTAGCGGGATCGCTATCAGTTACAAGCAGTGGCTCGGAATGAAGGACCACGTTCACCAAGTGAGTAAACCCGATCGAAATTCCGTCGCGACGCCGATAGATAAAGAGGAAACGTCGAACCCGTTCGGGCGAGAAATTTCTTGGTTGGTACTCGAAGCTTCGAGAGTTCGTGAAATTTTTTGTTAGAGTAGATGGGAACTACGGTTCTTTTCAGACAGATTTTTTGTTGTCCTGAAATGCGGGCGTTCGGAATTTCATGTGACATGAAAGTTGAAGGAGTAATGAGTGAAAAAAGATCTTTCTGTTGAATTAATCGTACTTCAATTTAACTCTTTAATATAACGAAGTAAAATGTTCCGTTTAATGAACTCGGTTACATGTCATTTTATAGAAACTCGTTTTTCTGACAGGGAGATTAGAGAAGCTATCTGAGATTTGTTCAAATTCTTCCTAGATAGACATTTTACAAGTAAACGTAACGAATATATTGTTTAGTGATTTAATTATTCTTTACTGTATGGGTCTCAAATTACACTTATAACCAGAAATCTCTCGCCTGGATTTATGTTATTTTGTTCATGAGAATAAGGTGGAATGGAACCTCCATTATCCGAACGACAGTTTTTTCAGAAAACTATGTTTCTGTGAATACCACAAGGTACAACACGATATACTTCCCGTTGCATATCTTCGTTCTTCTTAAGACGTACGATAGCTACTACATCGATACACCACGCCCCGTTGCCCGGGAAGGCGTGGCTTACCGCTCCCGCCGATTTCCGTTTAGCCCGGGCGCAACTACTGAACAGCACACTGTACTAGACCAATGGTTTTTAACCTTTTTCTTGCGGACCAGTGAAAACTGCGAATCAGTTGTCCAATAATTTCTCAAGTTCAAGTCCTATCACCCTTCAAACTTTTCACCAGTTCAGATAACGGAGGTTCCAAGCCGCCTCACCTCACGCGTTCTCCAGAGAGGTTCGGGGAGGGGGAAAAGGGGGCGGGGAACAGAATCGAACAAAAAAATGAAAAGTTGACGTAGTAGCAAATAAAAAGGATAATCCAATGCGTCGTAGTCGATGCACTGGAGCGTACCGAAGACGAAGGATCGAATGCTGCAGGACGCTTCGGGCGAGGCGGCCGGTTCACCGGGGCACACCAAGGTCCAGCCTCCGAACGCCCACAGGAGAGCCTCAGAGGGCGGGGCGAACATCTACTACGGTGCCCGGCGCGACATTGGCTGGGACTCGGACGCGCCCAGCGAGGTCGTCAACAAGTTCCGCAACTACGAGATCTAAGCAGAGACCGTGGGAGGGGGTGTGGATTACCCATTGGAGTCCGTGTGTCTCGCCAGGACCAACTAAAATCACTTTATCTACGTGTCTACCTTTGACGTATATCAAATTGGAAAGAAAAAAAGAATGCGAACCGCATAAACGGGTATTATAAATAATGCCGTCTCAACATGAACTTTACCGTTGTCCAACCGAGGGAAGGAAGAGCTTCTGGGGATTCTCTGGGTTGTTTGGTGGGCAATTTTCGATCGGTGAGCTTGGGCATACGAGACTCGCGGAAGAGCTTTTGGAATACGTTTTTTTCGTTCATAGAGAAGCGTTGGTGTATCGTTGGAGAAGGGGAACAGTGGAGATTTATGGGAGCTAGGGTGGAGGTCATAGATGTGTTTGTACTTTGTTTTTGGACGATTGGAACAGCGATGATGCCTGGATGGCGTTCTTGGGAAATGTTGAGGTTCATTTCTTCTTGGTGATTTTGTAATCCCGTTTTTCATTTGTCAAGAGAGTGGATATTACCGACAGTGAGTTGAATTCTTAGAGACACTTCTGGTGGAAGATTCATAGACATGGACCCCGGATTGTCTTTGTTCTTGGAAGAACGAAAAGTGCTGACGTTGGACGGTGTTCTTGAAGAATCTTGGGGGATGATAGTTCTGTGAATGATTTTGATGTTGGAAGCGTTGGAGGGGTTTTGCAGAAATTTATCTATTTTTGGAGAATATATCTTCTACTGGATGGAGATCTTGAGGAAGCTTGAGGGTTGTAAGTTGAAAGAAGATTGTGTATACCTGTTGTAGTTTTAAAGGTAATGGAAGCTGTCAACGCGGAATCGAATTCTGGGAGAAACTTCTGGCTAGACGCTTCAGAATTCTGTGAAATTTCGTTCTTGAAAGAGCGTCACGTGCTGGCACTGGATGAAGTTCTTGAAGAAAATCGAAACTGAAGGTTCATATAAGCCTTTCGTTGCCTGGAATGAAATTTCTAAGGAAGTTCTTGGTGAAACATCGTTTCGAGTTCTTGTACTTTTGTTCCGAAGAATTATGAAATCGTTAACAGTTCTTGGAGAAACTTGAAGTTGAAGGTTCATCTTATTTTGATTATGGAAAGAAAGGGTGGTATCGACCTGGGATAAAGTTGTTACAAAAGTGCACGGCAGAATGTTGACAAAATTTCTTCGTATTCTCTTATTTCGTAACTGACTGAAGAGTGCGGTTAGAAGACAGAATCGTCGAAGTTCGAGGTTGTAGGCTCTCTGAAGTTCCTGCATATGTTATGAGACGTTCGAAAACTATTGATTTTGTTTTCGAAAGGAGTCATGATGATTCTTGACTGGAATAAGATTGAAAATTCACAGAACCTATAATTAATTACACTTCCGTATACTTTAAATAAAATCGAAACTGTCGCTGTCAAAACAGCAAACCAGCGCTGGCTTTGAACAGAATATAAGAAGAAGGTGGATTCTGTCTTCACAATCTGCATTCCATCCTAATCGATGAAGCCAATTAAGATTAAGTTCTAAAGTCTTTTCGGTACAACCATCTTTAATTTATAAGACTAAAGGAAGAATAATTCTCAGGGGCTTAATTTTGTAAAGATAACCGAACCTCCTATGTATCGGTATCAAAATGAAGGTTAAAGTCAAAAGACACGTCGAAGCATGAGAAGAATAGAAAAGAAGAGAGATTATTATACATATCGAATTATAAGGAAATGAAGCTACAAGCAAGTAGAGGATGGTCTACTTTAGTGATTGCGCATTGGAGAACGAAAGAATAATGAAATCAGACGATCAATAAAAAAAAAAGAGTATCGTGCGTTTTTTGTTACCGTACGCATTACAGGACGGAAAATGATGAAAAGCTAAGCAGAAAGAGGATGATCAGATTAATTTTTTTTCTCTACACGTTGAAGAACGAAACGTGGGGCGAAAAAAGGAACGGTTTAATTCGTTTATCGATCCTGATTTCAAGATCCCTTTTTAGAGAGGCAGCTGGGGCGATCGATTGGTGCTGAGGTGGCACGGGATTCTCGCTCGAAGTTCTGGTCTCGAGACGATCGGGTCTGTAACGAGGTCGGGACACGGGCGGCGACGGTGTTCCAGCTTTCGATTTTTAATTATCGCCGCGTTGCTGCGTTCAGCTATGACGTCGGACCTTAGCGGTGTGTAATCAAATCGTTCAAACATGTTCAAACGTCCGACTAGAGCAGTTTAAACTGTCCAAGTCCAATTTTCATCTTGGCGAAGCGTTCGGACTTAGAAGGTCGCGTTCAAACCATTGAAACAGTTCAATGACATGTTTGGAACTACAAGTTTGATCTTAGCGAGGTTTTCAAACTGGAGATTGCGTTCAAACCATTCAAACAGTTCAATCTAATGTTTCGAATTTGAAGTTTGATCTTGGCGAGGCGTCCAAACTGGAGGTCGGGTTCAAACTACTCAAACAGCTCGGTGAAATGTTTCGAACTTCAAGTTTGATCTTGGCGAGGCGTTCAAACAATTCAAACAGTTCTATGAAATGTTTCAAACTTCAAGTTCCGTTTGGAAAGTTTGAACACGACTTTCGGTTTGAACGTCTCGCCACGGTCAAACTTGGGTTCTACCGTTCAAACTCCTCGCGTTCATAGAAGATCATACGTGTTTGGAACTGTTTATTCGTGAACCCACCGCTGGTCGGGACACGTTTTTCAAAGGCTCGCCGACAATGGGGATCTAGGAGATAAAAATGGTGTACGGTTGGACGGTGTTTTCGTGTCGTGTCGAGGCGAGCTGAGTGTCCACGATTCCGCGAAGAGATCCCGCGAACGTACGGGAATAAATAGTTGTTTCTACTTGTACGTAACTCGCGGCAGAACACTTAAGTGGTCCCCGCGAACGAGGCTCTCGATGAACTTTTCTCAGCCGTTTGGATGATATCGAGATGAGGAGGGATGCAGGGAGACGACAGAATTTATGGAAGTCGAAGGTAATTCGATAAACTTGTCGAATTTCGTAGTTACGTGGACAATTATTTAAGCATGTTTTTATAGCAAGCAATGATTACGTTTTTTTAATACTATTTCTCACGTCGGTGGAGAAACTATGATAGGGAGTTCGAAAATATGGTGCTACGAAAAGATTTTTGGAGTTTCAGAATTATATTAGTAATTATTTATTCCGATAATTCTTCATGATATATGAATGCTTCATTGTATAATTATTACAACTGTTAATGTTTTCAATTGTGTCGATGAAAATTTCATAGGAACCGCGCGATTATTAAAGAATTTCGGTGTTTTTAAATAATTACTCCATTTTACGAACATTATAATTGACGATGATTTTTAAATATATGAGATTCCTATTACTTTTGATAAAACTTAAAATTATTTGATCTCACGTGTAAATAGCTTCTCAGTGAAATAATAATAACATTATCTGTACTTGTTCTAAATTCATTCGTTCATATTTGTATTAACGTATGTACATCTTTCGACGATTATACGATAAGAAAGATTATTCGTCCTTCAGTATATTTCGGTTTCGCCATAGTTCCATTCAATCTTGAATTTCACCGAAGCTTACAATTAACCAAGCCATTAAATCGGCTCAGGCAATTAACGATTATCACCTCGAATTACTAATCAAGTTTCGAATTTACTACAACCAGGTAATTCAAAACCCGGCAACCCTCTTCATCCCCTGTGTAAATACAGCTCAAGATGATTTTAACACGCACACGCGGTTTCAAACAAAAAAGTGGGGACGGGGGTATGAAATTCACGAAGCTTGAAGCAAAATGTACCACTTAAGTAGTTCATCCAGCGTCGAGTAGTTAGAAGAAATAAAACAAAAAAAAAAATAAACGTAACTCGTTGTTTCTACATTGAGTGCTCCTCGGTGGAACGTTTAAACAGTTTACAGAGCCGCGAAGCCGTCCCCGGAAGAAGCGTTTCCGGGCGGGCGAATAACTTGGTCGATTCCCCAGTCGAATCGCAATCGCGTCGACGGAAATTGTTTAAGCGATCGTCTCCACCGTCGAGCGGATCGATGACGGCGCACTTGTACCTGTGTCAAACGCAAAATGTATATCGTTCTTCCCTCGACGACACTTGAATGTTTCGGAGAGCTTAAAAACCCTACCCCGATAGATCTCCCACCTCCCATTTGCCACGTTTCGATCACACCCCTCGCCGGAGAAGCGATCGAACGAATATCTTTTTCCTTTCTATCACCTGTCAGAATCTATCGACAATTCACACACGAATTTATTCCAGAAAAATAACAAGCCAAAAGAATATATCGCTCTTTAACTTCGATCGAACAATTCGAAATTTCGAAATGTTTTCGATCAATCGATTGTATAACTAATAATGACGAAGAACTTGAAGAATGAATTTTTTGTATATCGAGGGATACAACGGAATTCGTTGACAGAATCAACTGGCAAAAAATTTACGTACGACTTAGTTCAAACAAAGGAAAAAATGATCTACTGTTTTTTAACTTCTGGCATTGACTAATTCAAAGTTTCCGAAAAGCTGTTAATAATTCATGTATGCAAGACTTAGTTCAAGCGAAAGAAAAATTAATCCGCTTCTTTTTAACTTCTTTCTGTCATCGACCAATTCCAAATTTCCGAAAAGTTGTTGACAAACCAATCCTCCGGCTAAGAATGACTGCAGTCATAAAGAATGGATTTGTCAGTACCGATGGTTAAAAATGAATTTGTCAACAGAATCAACGAAAAGACGAGCTTAGGTTTACGATGTACAGATAACCCCTGTATAACAGGGTGTTCACATTAACACGATTAAATAATTCATTCGTATAATACGAATAACACGAATTCGTCTAACACAGCAATTTTCAGGAATCCAATCACCCTGTTACACGGGTGTTACCTGTAAATTCAGTTCAGGGATGGAAGTTGCTTTCGTGAGTTCCATTGCCCGCCAACTCGACCTTCTCTACCGTATAATACGCGTGGACAGAATGCGAGGGAATCGAAGTGAATGGAATCTGAATGGGTTTCTCTGGGAGCCATAACTTCTTGACAACACTTTCGAAACACTCTATACTCGACCACCCCTTTTCAGTGCGCGGAGAAGTACCTTGGAGGGGGACCATTCGATTTATCAATTTCACCGGTGAAAACCCTTCACGGTTCTCCAATGGACACGAGGCACGTGAATCGAGCCTCGAAAATTTTCCGCGTCACGTTCCATTATGCTGACGCCAGCGAACCGACATATCGCCCTCTCCGATGGAAAAACGATTTGCGTTTACCGGCGAGGCGGGGGGGTTGGAACTCTTGACAAACTCGACTTCTTTTCATCGTCATTTATCATCGAAATACAGGGTGTAACAAAAATGTTGGAGGACTCTGAAATAGGAGATTCGTGAGGTGATTTGAAACAAACTTTTCCTTAGCAAAAATGTGATCCGAGGCTTTGTTCACGAGATATTAAGGAAAACCCCGACCAATCGGAGCGCGAGTCTGCTAGTCGAGTTCCCGCGGTAACGTTCGCCACGCGCTGCGATTGGTAGCCGACGTTATTGCAGAACTCGGCCGGCAGACTCGCGCTCTGATTGGTCGGGGTTTTTCGTTAATATCTCGTTAACGAAGCCTCGGACAACATTTTTGCTAAGGAAAA